CAACCGTATAAAGAACGTGAATTTTGGACGTACGGTTGGAAAGTTATAGGCAAAACACTGGACAGAGGTCGAAACTGGGACCGGTCGCACATGAATCTGCCCAAAAACGACCGGTCGTCACTGTTCACGACCGGTCGTCACTGTTCATTTTCACTGTTCGCCGCACTGTTCATGGCACTGTTTACAGGTGATAAAATGGTGATAGAAAGTGCTGTTTCTGTTTTTCTTTAATTTTCTTGTGTTGTTTTATTTCTTTTACATTTCTTTACTCATTTTCAGTTTCCAATTTGCATTTGTGCATTTGTGGTGTGTTAAATTAGTGTTCTTTACGTACTCACACTAGAACTTATAGGAAGCCGACAAGCTCTTCGTGGGATCGACCCCGTACTTACATAATCTTTACTTCATTAGATTCGTGCACTTGCGGGTATTTTTAATTGGTTGTTTGCACATTAATTTGTGTCCTTTTAGGAATGCAACAATTTGTGCACCCTATAAGCTTTGATAATGTAGCAGCATACCTTCCATTTGGCATTTTTGAACAGCAGAGAATCAGCATTGAGTAGAATATGCAGTTGGCCAAGGTCCATGAGGGCTGTTGCAATGGCCTGAGCCAAGTCCTTATCATCATGAGCATTATAAAAACATTTGCGTTTCTTTGCATCAAGAATTAGCTTCTTCCAAATAGAGTTACTGCTAATCAAAGTTGCTTCGTTCCCCAAAATCCACAGACAGTACCTACAGACACAAAACAACTGATGAACTTCATCAAAACCACCAAATATTCAGACAGTAAATCTAAGATACATGTCAACCTGCAATGTGATAAGAGGTACCTTGCACGCGTTAGCATCACGTTTGCCCTTTCAAGATTGGAGAGGAAACCGACAGAGCCTTTCTCGTTACATCTGACTGTGGAGATAATTATCACATCATCTTCACCACCTTGGAATCCATCAACAGATCGCACTCTTACAGAGAAGTCAGTGCCAGAAGCTTCACTATGTTCTCTGACTCTCTCTTGAATTGCATTAACTTGAGCTTTGTAAGGTGAAATTACCCCAATACTAACTCTCTTCTTTGTTTGAGTAAATTCTGTGGTCCATAAAAAACGTTACAAAACAGTTAAGAACATCTACACTAGCTCACAGCAAATATTACCTCTGTAAAGGCTTGCAACAATCTCACAGACCACAGCAACCTCAACCATATTTTTAAGACTATGCCCACGATCGTAATCTTCTTTTCCATTGGCTATATCTATAAAGGAGTAGGGTCCGTACATTTTTCCTGAAAGAAAGCACTTCTCATGGCTTCCTTGCTTGATATTTGGACCGTCTAATATCTGGTTGTTGTAAAACTCTCTTTTCGGGAATAAGCTGATTGATGGATGCATTCTATACTGGATATTGAGAAGGTGCCTCTCATGTCCCAACAGTACAAGTCTTCCAAACAAACTTCTTCCGAAACCAGCCTGCTTGGAGATCTGAAAGTGCCTTGTTCAAAATTCACATAAAACAGAAAAGCTTTTCAAAATTTGAAAACTAAACAGCACTAGACAAGGGACAAAATGAAACCTTGCTTTTAACCATAGCAGGGAGTTGCTTCTCATCTCCTATGAGAATAGCATGGCGAAGACCCGGTAGTTGTAAAGGAATTGCTGATTCACATTCTTTAAGCTGAGCAGCTTCATCAATCACTAACAAATCCAGGGGTGTCATTCCCTCTGTGTACAATTTAGCAGAGCCTGACGCGGTGCAAAATATTAAGCAAGCATTTGCCAAGCACCATGTCCTTATTGTCTTGAAATCTTCCAAATTAGGAACAGAAAATCCAAGAAGCAACGTCAGTGTATGAACACAATCTTTTAGAACTAATTGTGACCTCTCACTAGCAAAACCGACCTCATGCAGTAAAGATTTAAGAGAACTGAGCAAATCCAAAGCTCTAATCATGCCCTTCACAACCTCTAGTGAAATGCAAGAAGTTGGTAAGTGGGTGTACAAATTTACCATGCAAATCTTCAGTTGCTCACCAATTGAATTAAGTTTTTCCTTCACAAACTCCTCAAAGGTTAGAAAATCATTCACATCATCCCTTGTTGACTTCCTATCATTGACTATAACTCTCTTCATCCTCATCAAAAGATTATCGCTATCTTTTCCATCCTAATTGTATCTGCTTCTCCTTATTTCTTTCAAATACAACAAGTGCTTTCCCTTTGGATCCTCAAGCAAACCTATCATTGATTCCAACCAATGTTTCCATCCAGTCAAAGGGTCAAAGCACTTGGCCAGAATTTCAGTACGATAATCAAGAAATACCTCAACAAGGTCATCATAATTATCAATCTTCATTCGCTCTTCATTCCCAAATAGAATTAAATCTCCAATTCCATACTTGCCATAATCAAGAGACTGGTTAACCAATCCCAGGAGTCGCTCTGTGACTTGAAACACGGAAATATTCGTTGGGGCACATGTTAGCGTTCTGCACTTCAACTTCAAGAGGGCAAAGAGTGACATAGCAACTGTGTCGGTTTTTCCAGTCCCAGGAGGACCCCATATTAGGTTGATGGCATTATGGTGAGTACATTTACTCAAACTGATACAGTTCAAAACTGCAGCTTGTTGGGAATCATTGAGATCAGAGAACATTGAGGGCCATTTAGTAGAAAGGGCAGGGGAGCATTTTTCTTTAGAAATGCAAATTGCACAAGAGTTCCCACCCTGTAAGAAAAAAAAACACAAGCACGTATTCGGGGCTTTGGGAATCAATTAGCCAAACAGCGGCAGAATATGCATGCATGATGTTAAAGTAAAGCTAGAGTCAAGAAAAAAAAAATTACATGTGATGAATTGGGTTGCACCTGCAGCACATTCTTAATTAAACCTGTGCTTGCCCTTTCTGAGTTCAAAGCACTCCATACGCGAACGCTTGTTGTCATGTTGATTAGATAGACAGCAAGAAGTCTTTCTTTTCCTTTATTGATAGGCTTTGATGAGAGTATTGAGAACTGATTATCTCTGCCTCGAAGAACATACGCAATGAGATATGAATCTCCGGGCCCTTTTAAATGATCAGTGCATTTTGGTCTGATATCAGTCAAGGCAATAATATCTCCAGCCTGCGGCTCATATTTTCCTGCATGATTTTCAGCTTCTCCCTTGCCATTAATTATAATATCGTAAAACAAGTCCTTGGGAGGGTTATGACCCTTAGAAGTTATAACAGCCAGAATTTCACAAGTAGCTGTTGAGGTCTTTTTACTCGCAAGGGAGTGAACTGTGCAACACCAATGCCCCGGGTGTTCCTGTGACAGAGTCTCTATGCTTGAGAGTAAATCAGCATGTGTTTCCTCAACAAGTGAAGGAATGAACGTTTTCATGTAACTCGTCACGGTCGAAAATGTCTCAGGAATTTTCGTCACCTGTATTAAGTTGAAAAAAATCAAAGAAAAATTGACACGTTGTAAAGATTTACCATATCTGTAAAGAAGACCACCAAAAAAACCTGGTTTTTGCAAAGATTTCTGTTGAGAACATCCTCCATAGACCAAGAGAAGACTAAATCAATTAAGCTTCTACCGGCAACAACTCCCTCCATTTTCACACTAGTCTCTTGATGATCCATAGCTACTTTTTTACTGATCTTCTGATATCTGCAATGGCTTCTTTGTGAGTGGAAGGTGGTCCAGTCAATTACTTAGTCCAAGATCACTTTTGTGTATAGCATATATACTTGCTTAGCACTGAAGCAAATTCCAAGACCAAAAAAAAAGCATTGAAGCAGAGTCACTTGATCAAAACAAATCTACAGGGTACAGGGAAAGAGACCTTTCTTTTTCCTCAGTGGTTGTGGTCTTTGTTTGCAAACCCCATGGCACTGTTGCATCTACCCAAGTGCAAGTAGTCACACGTAGTAATAATCTTGGAAGTCCAAGTATCATATCCTCAAGGAGCAGGTAGGCAAATGTCTACATACAAAGAAATAATTAAACGTACCAAAATAAAAGTGACAAGCAAAATGAAAAAGTAATTTGATTTTATTGTTGTAGAGATTGAGTTTAAAAATGAAATATCAATAATGGAAATGCTAAGGCATCAAGGTTCAATTCTTTAAGCAAAATATGTTTCATGCTCTTTAATCCAAATTAAACTCGATTAAAATTATCATTAAGAAACTTTAACCGGAAGATAAAGAAATTAAAACCAATTTAATTTTTCAATGTTATCTTTTATTAATGATTGTTCAGAAAATGGAGTGTCTTAATATCTAATCTTTTAATTTAAAAGAATGCTAAGTCAGTTCTTAATAATGAGAAAAATATAATTGAACTCATGAAAAGATAGTAGCACTTAACATCAATCAAAATAAAAGGATATGAAAATATTGAACAACCAAAAATAAAATAATTTAGCAATTCATACTGTATATTGGATTAAAGAACAATTCACAAACTTACTCAAAGGACATTCCCTTTAGCCTTAGCCAGAGTTCTAGCAACTCATTACAAAGGAAAACATAATTAAATTTTGAATGAAATGGATAAAGAAATCTGTCGTAGTGGTCCCCTTGCCAAATAAGTTGATGGGTGATTTATAGTAGTCAATGAGGTGAGTGGGAAGTTAATACATTTGTGGTGGGTAATGAAGGGTTTAAGTGAGGGATTAATTGGATTAAACATGTGTTGATGGTGGAGAGTTAGTGGAAAAAAAACTAACGGTGAGGTAGTGGGCGTTAAATGGCTATGAATGACATGAAATAGGCTCTCTAGCTTCAATGGTTTTGTCTTCTCTTCTCCCTCTTTACTTCCCTTTATAATCACAATAATCCCACAATCAATTCTTCAATAAAATCCGCCAACAATTCTCTTCACACCTGGCTTGAACTTGGACAAATGTATGTCTTCATCTTTTGGCTTTCCAACTTCCTACAAAAGATAAATTCACCTAATAAGTTCACCAAATTAATACAGAAAATTCATAAATCCAGTTGGTGAGAATAAAATGTAACAACATGTGAAATTATATTTATGAAGCCAAAATTATATCATAAAGTCTCCAAAATAATATTAAAAATATGTAATTTGAGACTCTCATCATGCACCAGTTCCACCCTCCCCTTAGAGTAGAATATCGATCAGAAAAAAAAGACCTTTCTTTTTTGGCTAAAAGTCACTTTTGGTCCCTGTGGTTTGGCACTTCAATCACTTTTGACCTTGTAGTTTCAATTCCGTCAATTTTGACCATGTAGTTTTGTATTTGTAACAATTTAGCAATTCAAGGACAAGCTAGTATTCAATTTCTTTGACGGTGCAAGGGGCAATTTCATCAATCCAAAATCCTTGAGCATAAAAGCTCGTCTAGAACTCCCCTAATTTCATATTAGGGCTTGAAATTGGTCATTTGGGTTTAGGGTTCTTCAAAAAGTGGGATTAGTGGTAGAATTTCGAGCCCTAATATGAAATGAGGAGAATTTCAGACAAGCTTTTATGCTCAAGGGTTTTGAGTTGACGAAAATGACCCTTGCATCGTTAAAGAAATTGACAAGAATACTAACATGTCCTTGAATTGGTACAAATACTAAACTACAATAGCAAAATTGACGGAATTGAAACTACAGGGTCAAAAGTGGTTAAAGTGCCAAACTATAGAAACCAAAAGTGACTTTTGGCCAAACCTTTTTCTAGTAGCTGCATTGCATATCATGTTTTTAACATAAAAATTTATTCTGACACTTACAGACCAATGGTCTCAAGTTTGAAGAGTCATTCTATCTAAGACCCTTAGATGAGGTTCTATCTCTAAATCATTAGATCAAACTAACCAATTTGATATAACGGCTAACCAATTTAAACTTGAGTGCGAAAAAGCAAATACACCACTTTGGTCAACTGGCATAATGTTCTAAGACTTCTTCATCCCTCTCATGCAAGGGTGGAACCTAGTGCAAGGCTCCAATGGGCTCTAGCCCACCCCATTGTTTGAGAAAAGAGAAGGTGTTAGTAAAAGGGCTATTCTCTGGTGGGAACGTCATTTTGCGAACCTCTAAATCAGAACACCGTTGGATCAAATCCAACGGATGATAAGAAGCAAGTGTAACTGAAAGTGGGTAAAACCATACCACTGGAACGTGGCTTCCTCCCTCCAAAACAAACGCATTGTGCTCTTGAAGACCATAATATCTCCCTCCAAAAAAAGTTCTGTTTCTCTGTCTCTGTCACTTGAGGATTTGAGACCCTCTGGTTCTAGAGTTGTCGGTTTAAAGTGTTGGAGCAAACGGGAAACTAGAGTTGAGTTTGAATCGTTGAGGAGAGGAAGGTTGAATTTTTTGGGGTAGATGTTCCGCTCTAAATGGACGACATTATTATATTTGTTGAAATTTCAAAACTCAAAATCAGTTACAAGGTAAGCGATATCCTGTGTTTGTTAATTTCAATATACTTGAAAAAATGTTTTGACCAAGTATATTGTCATAATTTACGCTAGTTTAGATATAGGTTGTTTAAGGTTTCACTAAAGACTCCAAACGACCTCGTAGGTGTAGCATTTATATTCACTAATGGGTTCATAGATTATTTTGTTGCAGACTCCATTATTTAATAATGTTGCAAAGTCTATTTGATATTTGTGGAAAATTTGAAGATCAAAATCACTTATGAGGTAATTGATATCTTGTATTTGTTAATTTTGGTATCCTGGAGGAAATGTTTTTACCGAATATATTTGCATAATTTACGTTATTTTGGATGTCGGTTGTTTAATATTTCACTAGAGACTCCAAAAGGCTTCGTAGATATAGCACTTGTATTCACTAATGGTTCATAGCTTATTTCGTTTTATACTTCATTATTTACTAATGTTTGATAGTCTATTTGATATTTGGTGAAAATTTGAAGATCAAAATCACTTACGAGGTAACTGATATCCAGTAATTGTTAATTTGAGTATATGGACATAATTTACGCTAGTTTGGATGTAGGTTGTTTAAGGTTTCACTAGTGACTCCAAACAGCTTCGTAGGTGAAGCACGTGCATTCACTAATGGTTCATAGCTTATTTCGTTTCAGACTCGATTATTTACTAATGTTTGATAGTCTATTTGATATTTGTTGAAATTTTGATATTTCTGTGTTTATAATATTGTGGTTAATATACATTTGAATGCTCTTTAAACGCATGTGGCAATATTATTATGATGATGATATGATTTTCAAGGTTAAATTGCAAGAATTGTGAAATGGAGTCTGAAGCAAAGGTGAAACATGAAGTTAGTGTGGAGTTCAAACCAAAACTAGGACTTGAATTTGATTCCATTGAGGATGCGTTGAAGCTGTATGATCTGTATGCACTAAAAGCAGGATAATATTCACTCAGAAACTCTTTTGTATCATGGCATCATTGTGTATCATGCTTGTTGCATATTTCAGGCTGTCTATGGGGATTATGTATCATTATGGTTATCGTTATGCACCCTACAACACATATTCAACATCACTGTATCAAAACATTGTTTAGAAGATTGGATTTTCCGAAGAGCCAAGAAGAAGGCGGAGAAGAGGAGGAGTTGAAGAGATTTGTGTGGGGTTTTAG